TTATTGATGATGATTATGACGGTGTATTGATGATATTGGTATTGACGATGATGATGGTGGAGATAACGATAATGGTTTTCCATTTGTAACACCATCTTTCCTGATGATGGATCTAAGATCCGAAAGCTCGGAAAATAATCAATATATGTAGATGAAACTGAATATTTAATGACATCTACATGCAAAGAAACCTTAAATGTTGACGACGTTTTGGTGATGATGATGGTGTAATGATTATGGTGGTGCTTTGATAGTAATGAAATATAAATGATGAAAATAATGATAGTGTAAATGATGACGATGATCGATGATGATGCATAGATGTTCATGATGCTAATGATGGTGGTAGTTGTTGGCGATCCTACGGAATGTATAGACCTCTACCTACGTCATTTTTGTCCTATTTCAGACCATGTGATGCCACTCTTGAGAGTCGATTCTTTCATACGTAAATTGTTTTGAATTTTCACCACAAACGAACAATTCTCATTGGAATGTCACGTGGTCTGAAATGGGCAATTTGCATACGAAGGTAAAAAGGTCTAATATTACCAACTTACCATTCGTGGGAATTATCCACGTAGAGCGACACAGGACTGACTTGGACCGTGTAGGTATCATTGGCAGAATACTCAAATAACCCATAATATGGATTGAATATCTGTCTGGATATCAGGAAAAAGAACTCACGTGCCGGGCCACCATAATCCAGCCTGAAAACGCATCAAATTATCACATATCACGAAGCAGTAGAGCTGGGGAAGCCGAATTTTGCAGTGCCCTACCTACCACCCCTGTTGGTCTTTTTGCTCCCACAGCGGCCATCTTAGATTGCAAGGCATTATGGGGCGACAAGGGGGCGTCTATTACTGGGACTTGATAAATTATTTTTCTCTACTCTCCTCAAAACCGAGACTACATATTGGTGAGAAACCAAGCAAATTTACTTAGACTCTTTGTAGGCGAGTGACTAGAATGGTAAATAAGAACAATGCATTACCCTTCCTCGCCAACAAACTGAATCTCAAGTCTGTTTTTTTGTAGACTTCTGGAATTTTCCTTCATGATTTGATCGTACGCATCCTCAAGAAGTCGATCTCGACGAATAGTCATCCTGAAAGATAACAGAACTAAAATAAGTTTTGTTTCGAATAGTTTCACAATGAATCTTTCCATTTTTAACGCTACTAATGTCGTTGTTGTTGTTTAAAGTTGTTTCGATGTTGTTTTGATGTCACTGTTAGATGTTGTTGGTGTTGTTGTTGTTGATGTTGCCATTACACTGTAATTGCTATTTTGTTGTCGTTGTCGTTTTCTGTTTTCTTAATTTTTGTTGGTGGTGCTAAGGATGGTGGTAACAATGATAGTTGCCATAACACTGTAATTGCTATTTTGTTGTCGTTGTCGTTGTCGTTTTCTATTATTTTTTCATTTTTGTTGTTGTTGTTGCGGGTGGTGGTGGTGGTGGTGGTAACAGTGATAGTTTTGGTGATGTGCGTCATGCTTTTGTAAATATTGTGGAACCTTTCCAAAGGGACACCTCTATATTATGGACACCTCTATAGAGTGAAGTCATTAAACCCGTGAAATAGATATTAGACTAACACACTTTAGTAGACCCTAATTCCATACTACACGTTGATTAATAATTTATATTTCTCGGGTTAAACGCCTTCACTCTATTACGGAGACGTTTATATTACGGACAGATATTTAGGTCCCAGCAAAATCGCCATACATTCATTATCCTTATAGGCCCCACCTCTATATTAAGGACACCTCCATACTACGGACACTTCTTACTGGCCCTTTCGATGTCTGTATTATATTATATGAAGGCGCTGAAATACTTGTCACGCAACAAAATCTAATATTGCAAGTTGGGACTGTCACAGTGATATTCTGCACGCTGATTGGCTATAAGCTACATAATTCAAGATGGCGGTCGCTTCTGCACATAAAATGTTGCGTGACAAGTTGGACGAGTGATGAAAAACGAGCAAGRAATCGCAAATTTGTTGCAGAAAGTTGATCTACGTTCTACTTTTCGCAACAAGTTTTCCCAACTTGCAACATTAGATTTTGTTGAGTGACAAGTTGGATAGATAGGATGTAAAACCAGCAACATTGTTTTCGAACTTGCACCGCAACAATGTTGCGCGACAAGTTGGACGTTTTTGTGTCTCGTATTTCAGCGCCTTAAGGGGAACATATTCAATGCTCTTACTTGATCTTATTTGGTCCTTGTCCATATCCTTTATGATACAACTGACGATGGAATGACCGGACCTTTGCTTCGAAGTCTCGTCGATAAGGAGCAGGACTGGGCGCTGCTGAAGCACTGGCACCACCACCTGACACTGAAATACAGATGGTATCAACAAAATATGACAAAACAGATGAACATAACGAAGAGTAAAATCATAGGTACGGAAGCAAGTCCGTTTTCTGAAGCCCCCCCAAAAAACGAGGACTTTCCCAGAATATATTATTTTACTTTCTATTGACCAAAAAAGCGTTAATGTAATTTTATAACTTGCCAACTGTCTCGTTTACGTTATGGCTATTACAGCTGGCTAGTATACTGCTCCTCTTTCTTCTCGTAATTTAATACAGTCAATGTAATTAACGTTGTCCACCAAAAAAAGACATTCACACATTTAGACTAAAAGAAATATCACGTGTTTCCTCGAAGGTTCTGGCATAAAACAAACGCTGAAATACCATTCTCCATCTTAAATCCTCACTAAATGGTCGGGGCATTCTGGGTTCATTTTCGATTCACGAGTTGAAGTTTACGTTTAAAGTTCAGGCTGACGCACACGAGGCAAAGAATACATAATGAAACACGTGATATATCTTTTAGTCTAAATGTGTAAATGTGTAAATGTGTAAATGTCTTTTTTCGGTGGACGTTGTTATTGACTGTATATGTATTTTTATTGCAAACATGGTACTGAATAAAAGATTGATTGATTGATTCAAACTAAGACAAGAAGCAGAATACCTTTGGCTATAGAGTCAGTAGCTGAAATACGGTTAACCATGGGAGTTCTGACAGGTGAAGTGGGAAGCGATGAGCTCGGTGAAGGTGGCTCTGCTTTCTGAGCTACTTCAGGAGGTACGAAAGATATGATATCATCTTCGAATAAACTACAACAAAACAAAGTAAAACCAATGAAAACATACGTCAATCAAGTTAGGATAAGGAGACTAGAGGAGTGAGTTAGGGTGTTGTAAACCGAGTTAATATCTTTAGGTATTGATATTGATACAGTAGAACCTCTATGTAGCCAACCTCAGGGAATTGTCAATTTGGTAGCTAAATTAAAGTTGGTCGCTAAATAGAGGTTGGTCACTTAATGAGGTTGGTCGCTAAATAGAGGATGGTCGCTGAATAGAGGTTTGCTACGTAAGAGGTGGTCGTTTAATAGAGGCCTTCATGTATTTTTTTAAACGCACAACGAACCTGAGTAGCATAACGAAATCCACGTTGTTTGACAGTCTTTCCAATGCTCTCTCGCCTTCACACTGAGCACGACGAATGTTGGCCCTGTTTCAACAAAATAAAAGTTCTCATCGTTTAAGTTCTCTCAAGAAAGATGGTGGACTAATAAGTTTGTTTAACAATAACTAGTAAAAACAAATGAATTGCACCCATTAAAAAATGTAGTTCAAGTTCGTATTTTTCGTTTTGTCATGTGCTGGATGCTCAAAATCTGACAGCAGATGGATTCTACAGAAAGGCTCTCAAGAGGAAGATTTGAGATATGATCTGAAAGGATCACTCAAAGACTGCAAATGCATACATGAGATAAACCAATATATATATTTGATAGACAGAGACGAAACGAAGTGCATGGCAGTCTAGACCGAGAATAGGCCAACAGGTTCTAACATATTCGCCATTTCCGGTGTATCATACATCATATACTGTTAGTATATGACCTACTGACGACACTAACTAGAACTGCTCATCAAATCAAAATACAAGGACACGGCACCGTTACGGTCACGGTCGTGTCATAAAAGGCCCTCAGTTTTTACGACTATCATACAACCTGTATTTATTTCTAGGTATCTAACTTACTTTAGAGCCATGTTTCGTATATAACTTTGTTGTTTTCTGGAAATGATTTCATCGATATTTGACTGGGATAAAAATCCTATCACTTGCTGATTGTAGGCTGAAAATAAAACAACAAGGTTACTCTTACAGAACTATTATTCATGTTCAATTGAACGGAAATCCCCTGCCTATTCATTGTACTCCGGGTTTTCTCCCTTCGCAAATGTACCCTGGCTATATGATTAGCCCAGAGGCTGTCTTAGGTAATCACTGAAGATAAAATTCAAAAACATGCACCTATAAACCTGCCCTAGTTCCGCCCTAGAGCTGACTAAAGACGAAATTATAGTTAATGAACTTACTGAGCGCTGTGCTGTTCACATCGGTGCTGTTGCTTCGTGAATGTCCTCTTGGCGGAGGAGGTCTGGGGGGTGGGGCTCTTGATCGTCGAGGCTGAAAAATGGAATACATTATTCGATAAATCCATTAATCCAAGCATTATATTCAATTTAGACTGCGAGCTAAGTCCCTCTATTTCCCTTGGTCACTGTCCGTCTGTCTGTCCGTGTCGATTGGCCGAGGAAGATTGGTTACGAGTCAATCGACACGGACAGACAGACGGACAGTGACCAAGGGAAATAGAGAGACTGCTCGCAGTCTATATTCAATTCGAATCATTCCGTTTCACGCTCGATAAATACGAATGGGATAATTGCAACCTGCTCAATTAAAACGGAGCAGAAAGAAACTGATATTGAAGGTGGAAGGAAGGGAAAAACGGAACACAGTTGCTGTTCGGCGATGGTGAGCGCGAGTGGGTAACCGGAGCAAAGGAACATATAGGAAGCCGTTTACGAGTTTAATACGAAACTGCGCGAGGTAGTTCTAGGAGTGACCTTATTTACACTCGCTCTGTAAGGGACTGGTACGAATCTGTGGATTTATTCCCATACAGTTTTTGTATAGGGCGTGGCTTACCTCTGTCTCAGTTCCCGCACGGTGTCTTCGTGTCGTGCCAATGATTGGTAGCCTGGGGTCTATAAATGTGGTGGTTCTGGTTGTGTGGTCTATGAAGTACAGCTACAGGAAAGAACATGCAAAAAAAAAAAAAAAATCTTTAATCAATTCTTTTTTTATAAATATATATAACTATAAAAAGGAACCAAAACCCTTAAAGATAAAGATAACAAAGTGAACTACACAAATATGACAACAGAAAAAAAACTTGTCAAAACTCTTGGCAAACCTTATAGACCTCTTGCACTCTGAATAAATAATTTTCCTCAAACCCAGAAATAAATCATTATAATCATTCCTAAGAGACGAACGTTAGAATCCCGAGGGAATCCCTAGGGTAAAATAATTTCCTACTATCCTCAGACCCCAAGAAATCACTTAAATACGTAATCCTAAGATATGATAATTTGAATCGCTTACCCGTCCATTCTGATCCACCTTCTTGTCCCAACCAGGAGATAGTTCTTGCTGAGGATCAGCAAACTGATTAAGAAAGCGAACCAGCTCTACTTGGTGACGATACCTGAAGACAATAAGATTGAAACTAGTAAACAGAACCCAACGGCCTATTAAAAAACAATCAATAGGCATTAGCTACAAAAAGCTGTTACAGTAGACTTAATGTCAATATGACACAAAGGTGACTGGAGTACTCCTTGTGTGACCCAGATCTACAAGACTTACTAAGTGTGCCACAGGGCTCTATTTTGGGTCCCCTACCTTAACCATTATACTAAAGTAAAACTCTAGCCACTAGGTTATTTGATTTTAAATTGATTCAGACTTTCCAAAGTCGATTCAGTTACTTTCAAAACTTGTAAAATAAATAAAATAATAAATAATTTGTGAAATACCAATAGAATGCATTACGTACTTTTCAAACTGCGTGGGATCTGCTCTAATTTTAGATATTATAAGTTTTAACATTTGACTTTGGAAGTAATATTGTCCCGCCACCTGGAAGATAAATTATCATTAAATAAATAATATCAAATAACAAAATATCATTTATTATCGATAATCAATAATATGATCAATTTTCATTCATTGGAAATATCATCAAGAAACATCGTTTGAGCGGTGGAATAAATTTCCCTGCAAAGCCAAGAGGGTGACTCGCATCCATTTAAAAAATACTCGCAGATACGTTTCTTTTCCTTAAAGATACCTTGATAAGCAACGATTATATTTGGTATGAATAAAGGGGCGTGTTTTAAGGCATGTTTTCCTCCAAAATCTCACAATAATTCAGATTTGAACGACGATTCTTAATATTTATGAATATTTAACCGCAATAGAGGTTTTCAAGTGGCTGCCTGTGGTTAGATGGCAGAACAATAAAATCCCTCTGCTCCCAGGAATCGAGTTCTTTCTTGTGTAAAACGATGTATTGTTCCTGCCATCTAACATGGCTGCCGTCACGTCATGGTGCAAAGCCTTTATCGAAGCCAAGGCAGACAACTGAAAGCTGGGCACGGTTGTACGAAGCCTGGGTAGCGCTATCCGACGGATAAATCCTTATCCAGTGGATAACTCGATGCTGTTATCCAATACATTTATCCACTGGATAAGATTTATCCATCGGATAGCACTATCCAGGCTTCGTACAACCGGGATTATTGTGACCCAGATATACGGAGTTATCACCATGGTAACCAATAATTAGCGAGCTTAATGTTGGTCAGACGGCTTCTCCGACCAAAGATACAAATAAATTCCTTACCCCGCTGTTTTTGATATAATCAACGAAGTCAGATCGAGTGATAAACTTCACGGCAGGAGATTCGAGCAACGCGGCCGAGCGGGCACTGGACGACATCTCAGACCTCGAATGTGAGGACGACGCACCAGCTTGAGATGACCGTGAGCTGGAAGATGTATGAGATGAGCTTGGTGTCGAAGGTGTATAGGTACTACTGGACGAAGAAGGGGTGGAGACGGTGGGAGTAGAAACAGGAGATGCTGCAGCAGTAGCTGAGGGGGGTGGTGGTTGTGGAAGAGACTCTGATTGGACGGGTGTACTTGGAGTTGACCTAGAGCTGGTCGCTGGTCGAGATCCCGTGTCTGAGTTTGACGCATTTGATCCTGATGCTGTACTCTCATTACTTCGAATTGATTCTGGTAAAGGAAGTCGAGTATTGTGGCGGTTACGCCCTCGTAGCGTGCGTCGAAAGCTTTCGTACCTTTGAAGAAGAAAACATGGATTTCAATTACCCTATTTCACTATGACGTCACTGCTTGTTTATGTGGGAGATAGAATCGCCAAATCCAATAGAAAATTCAACAAAATTTGCTCCTAGCGAAACAGTTTAATCTAAAATGGCCTGGTTTTCATATATAATATGTGTTAATATGTACTAAAAAATATTCTAAGCGTTTGCTGGCTATTCTACTTCTCTTCGTGGATTGATACGGATTTTAGAACAATTTTCGGTGAATTTGCGTTGATTTGACCCTGTCCGACGACCATGATCCTTTGCGTTTAAACAATAGATTGTTTTGATGTGACGTCATAGTGAATAGGGCAATTTACTAATATTCATGAAAATTGATTTTTGTGATGTTGCGTGACAATTCACGCCAAGAGTAATATGCTGTGACGAATAATTGAAACCAGTTAGTCACAAACAACTTTGGATCAAAACAGAAACGAAAAACAGCAAAAACGGCAATCACTCCTTGAGAAAAATTATAAAAAAGTCTCATACACCGATTCTGGCCATCTGGTCAGATGACTATTTTGGTAAACTACGTCACATAAAAAAAGCCGACATAACACGACAAACGAATATGACAGTTTGAGTATTTAATATTAATATATGGGCTTCCTGTGGTTAAGTGGGACGTCACGCAAACAGCACGTTATGGACCGGCTTATGAATCAACCAAAATTTTTATGAGAACTTAATGGAGGATCGTCACTTACCTTCGATCTAAGCTTTGCCAGTGTGTGTTGATATCATTCATGTTCGTCTCATTTTGTGGAGCTTCTGTGAAACGAAAAAAGAACCAAAAATGAAAAATAAATAAATGGATAATGACAGTAGAATATCGATATATTCCGCAAAAAGCATAACATTGATGACTAAAACATTATTCTTCCATTTAACCTGAGCAGGAGTGAGGTAGTTTCCTCAGAATCTTCAGCCATTTGACATTTACCATGAGACGACTGAGTCAGTGAATGTTACCGATCCGACAAGAAGTGGAGTCAAAAATCACAATTCAAACGATTCGCTTTGACAATTTTTTTTTTAGCCATTCGACTTTCACCATGAAATAACTGAGTCGATAAATGTTTAACGATGCGACAAGAAGTGGAGTCAAAAATTCAAACGGTTCTATTTGACAACGAATTCCGGTTGATCGAGCCGAAGTAACCAATCCCAACTTCACCAAAAAAACACGATGCATTAATGTTTAATAACAAAAACCTTGAATTTGCATGAATTTACATTCTGGTTTAGTCGCCTTGAGGCATCGAGTTTAAAAGAGGATTCGAATACAATCTGCTCCCTTTAGCACAAGCACGCGTATCTGAGATTATCATAGTTCAACGGCAGAAATGGGGAAAGTGGGGGGTAACGAGGTTATTAATCAAGATATTAATGAAGATAATAGGTCAATATGTCCTTGATTAATTAAGAACTCCTAATTAGTTTCATAGTTTGTATCAAAGTAATTACCTAGTTAGCCATCATAAAATATAACAATGATTGATTTCATTACAAAATAATTGGTACTTCAAGGAAGTATTATCAGTTTTGTAGTCGATAAAACCCGACAAGTGGTGAGAACAGATTGTTTGAAGAGTTCAGAGATTGCTATCAGAAGGAGAACAACGGCATGATTGATAAGAAAGACCAATAATGATAGTCACTAGCTTATGCAGGGGCTGGGGGGGAAAATCAGAGACCACCTGACAGCTGAATATCCCATCTATCAATAGCTGCTTATACACTGTATTCTATTCGTTAAGACCAATAATGTTCCACAAAAACTTCAGCTAAATTCCAATTCGATTTGTGAGTAAGCCGTGCCCGGACTTAGATCAGTCCCCAGTCTGTTTCAGGGATCGAAGAAATTAAACGCTCTTTTAGGAGAATTGTTTGTGTGCGACGTTTCGAAAAAAACGTTGACTTATTGTGACCGCGACAGTGATTTGTAATATTAAAATGATAGATGAGGCGTAAGCCGTGTGGGATGGGCTCGGAAGTCATATTAGAACATGCGTAATAGGTAAATTATGAGCCTTGCATGAAACGACTGAAGAAGAGGGCCAATGGGCCTTTCACAACTTCAAGTCGCGTAAAAAATGAACCAGCTCAACTAGAAACCGTAGACAGCTACATGGGTATACACTGAGGCTCGTAATTTACTTATTACGCATGTTCTTATGTAATATTAAAAGTTATGAGACAGCAGAACAACAACAAAAATTATGTTCTGTAGACGACAGAAGGAAAAGAACACGGGGCTTCTAATTATCTTACTTCTTTGTCAGCAAAGTAATAACATCTGTACTGTAATGACACGCTACATGCGTATATACGCTATATGCGTTCTGGTGTTTCGTTAGGCTAAAGGAACGCTCGAATGGATGGGTGGATGGATGGATGGATGGATGGATGGATGGATGGATGGATGGATGGATGGATGGATGGATGGTTGATAAATGAATGAATTAATTAATTAATTAATGATAAATTAATGAATAAGAATGAAGGGATCGAGGGTTGAATGAATGAAGTTCACAGTTTTCTGTACTACTCTTCTCTACCTTCGATTTCTTTGCTTTAGAATCTTTTTCAGAATTTACCTCAGGGATCACAGAGTTTATTGTCAAACAGCGAACAACATTTTAACTTTTATCATACAAACTGTTTTGACATCTACTCCAGGATTTTCAATCAAATTCCACAGTATATTTCATTGCGCATTCCAATTATACGCGCGAGTTGACTTGAATACACACCTCTAGTTGGTCTTGTCCAGGTAGTCGTTCGATGAGCGTGGTCGATATAATAGACCCGGCCATGTGAATCCACTCCTCTTTCCCAATCTACACACACAACAACAACACGATAAGGATTCCATATCCAACAGCAAGCAAAACACTTGATTAATTTCTAACTAAAGCATGTAATATAGACCCTTTGCATGTGACGTCAAAGCAGCTGGATCTGAGGGGAAAAAACAAAAGAATTCCAATCTCCTGAGAATTGGAACCTATTGTTTCGTCCCCTAGATTGAGATGCATTCCAAAGTGCTGCAAGGGGTATATAGACCCCTTGCACTGAGTCCCGAGAGGAATTGTTCTAGGGGACAAAACAATGAATTTTTTTTACATTAGAAAAGACGATCTATTGTTTTGTCACTTAGAACAATTCCTCTAGGAAATGAATGGACCAAAGGACCGACCTAATAGACGTTTCGCAAGTAATACTATGGCTAAGAAAGCATCTTACTTGAAGGTAATGGTTCGTTTTCACTTGACCGCCGACCTCGTCGCTCGTTGTCTTGAATCTGTAAATGCACGGGTTGAGCTTCTGCTCTTTCATGTTCTCTGTCACGCTCGCCTTGATGTCTCCGTGACGACCGGCGTCGAGACGCGGAGTGCGTTACAGCGGCGTCATGTCGAGGTGGACGTCCTCGCTCTGGCATGGCACTACTGCTACTACTGGCATCTTCCGCTGGCGGCCGCCTTAAACGTAGGTCATTCACTTGGTTGGGTCTCTGAGGCGGCTGCGCACTGCGAACGTACGTTCGTAACATTTTTACTATATTTTCACGATTTAAATCCCCTGTACCCGGTTTCGGTATCGCACGGGTACTACTACTGCTCTCATTGCTGCTAGAAGCAGCAGCTGCGCGATTTAAATCCCCTGTACCCGGTTTCGGTATCGCACCGGTACTACTACTGCTCTCATTGCTGCTAGAAGCACCAGCTGCAGTTGCTCGCTGGACTGACGCAGACGGTAGACTTGAAGTGCTAGTCCTTCTTGTTGCTGCTGCGGATTCCCCTCCTCTCCCCTGCTGTTCCACCGGTGTCATTTCAGACCAGTTGCCGGCCGTTTCTGTTGGGGAGGGAATAGGAGTGACACTCACGGTAGCTTCTTTTCTGGGCGACGCGATGGTTCCTGAAGCGACCAGCGTAGTACCAGTAGAGGTTGTATCTGAACCGCTGATAGGAACAGCAACAACCGTCTCCACTTCACTTGCTGCCGGGGAAACCAAGTTCCTGCTCTCTGATTCAAGAGTCGGGGAAGGCAAGGACGTTACCGAGACAGAAGTAGAGGGCACGGCACTAGCAACTACTACTGCATGTGATGTCTGAGCACGTGACCTCGGAGATGACGTAGGGGATTCGGAGGTAGTTACTGGTACGGCAACTACAACAGAATCGCTCAAAGACGTACGCAGCCTTGGTCTTCTTGAGGCAGTACTTCTTGTACCGCTAGTCGAGGTGGTTTCAGAGGTCTTGACGGGTCTTGCAATGGCTGAGGAAGCAGGTGAGACAGCTCTTTCTTGAGAAAATGCTATCATTGCGGAAATCCCAGCGCGAACTGCTTGCGAGTCACGTGGCTGATCAGTGGAAGCCCTGGGTTCTGTTTCTGTTCTTTGCCTGCGAGTTCGCTCAGGTCTCTCTGGTCGATGACTTAAGCGCGTGCCACGAGAATCACTCAAAGATCTTGAAAGGTTTTTAGAACGGCGAGCTGGCCGCTTTGGAGTACTCAGATCTTCCTCTATCGAAGGACGTCCATCAGATCTCGTTGATGACCTCGAATCGTCGGCTCTTGCCAGACCTGAGTTGAGTACGTTACTCGGGCTCATTCTCGAATCCACTAACATCTGCGCAGTGGAGGAGGTTTGAATGGATGTAACGTCCATGCAATCTGGCTCGGATTCTTCCATCGGAAACGTAACAGACGATAAATCGATTCCATTATTTGGAGTATATGGCCTTGAAGATCGAGAAGAGGAAGGAGAATCTCGACCTTCTGTGCGTGTTGAGATCCGTACTTGGTTTGCTTGAGGAGGTGTTCCAGCACTTTCTCCTTCATTCACTTCATCGTTTGCAATAATTTCATCTACGGCATCAACTAACGGCAGCTGTGTCCGGAGTGCCCAATCATTTGGTTCTAGTACCTGATTGGTCGTATTAGATGACGTCACCGATGTTTCGGACGAATCATCTTCTACTTCACGAGCAGGTGACGCAGCGCGATGATCTTCTTCTTGCACATCTTGTTCAGCATTTTCAAGGTCTTCATGGAGTTGTGTATCAGCAAAACTTGGTCCCTGAACATAACCTTCCCGTGGAGGGGACGCCTCGGGACTTGATATCCTTCTATCAGGCACCGGTGAAGCAGATTCAGTTTCTTGTTCAGCTGAAGGCAAGCCAATGGCGCTTGGTTTCGTCCTCAGAAGGTCCGGATTCGTATCTGTCTCCAAAGCAGAGGAATCTGGGGAAGTGCCCGCTTGTTCGTACGTCCAGCTATCAACTGATATGACACTGGGCGCAATGGAAGCCAACTCCTCGTCTGGTGTGGATCGTTCAGATTCCATTTCATCATCACCATCATTCGGGTTCACATACAGAAACCTGTATTCATTATCTACCTGCTCGTCCTCGTCCACTTCGTCACTGTCGTCATTTCGAGGCGAGAAAGTCGCTTCTTCATCAAGGGCTTGTTCGCTTTCTTCTAAAATCCTTAACGGTGAGTCTTCTGTCAACTCGATGCTTGCGGCACTAGATCTCATCGCGGGAGTCACTTGCAGAAGATTCGTCTCTTGGTTCTCATCGCCATCTTCAGCAGCAACACTCTCTTCATCAGCTTCGTTGTGTATCTCCTCATTGTTCTCCTCCGAGTCTACTGTCTCCATCGGTGATTCTGGTGACTGAGGGCGTTCTGAACGCACAGCTGAAGAAACTGCGGACGCTTCTGTAGGAGAAGAAGGCCGTTCTTCAAGAGGCGTTGGTGAAGACCCTTCAAGACGATCTTGACTGCTTGCTTCTTGATCAGAATCGAGATTATCAGTGCTATCGGATGTCAAACGAGTTCTTTCTTCTGTATTTTCATTTATTTCATGAGGTTCGTGATCATGCTCTTCTTCCTCAAAAGTACCATTAGAAATATTTTCCACAGAATCAAACGATTTATTGTTTTGATTCCCAATCACGGTAGCCAACGTGGCCTGCCGTCTGGGACTCGGAATTTCAAGATCGAGAGGCACGAATTCTTCCGAATAGAACTCGGAAAATGGTCGGCACTGGTTTCGCCTTCTGTTCGGCCTGGAATCGTCTTCGCCAGGCGGATGAGCATTGAATGGAGAGACAGGAGACGAGGCTTCAATGTGGCTACTCGAATTGGGCGTTGCCGAGAGATCAAGTTGAGCTGCCTGAGTGAGGTCTGGTGCCGATGAACGTAAGGTAGGATTTGACGTCATCATATTAGCACGTGACGAAGAGGGAGTTACGTTGAGGTTGCTTGGTCGACTGTTTTGTTGGCTGGAGACCGGACCATCTGTAAGAAATCCAATATGCACATTTAAGTACTTATTGCCTGAGCGCACGCAGCAAGGTTAGTACAAAATGACCAAGAGCCAAATATTCTTCCGTCCGACCCGACCCGACCGATTTTATCATATGACCCCACTTTGGTTGTAAAAAAATGTCGACAAATTCTGCCAAAACTGATAGATGCTGAAGGAAAATTAGCAGCTATTCTAATATCCTTAGGGGAGGGGTGTGTGGAGCTTTGCCAAATTATCCAAAGCAAACACCAGGGCTTAAAATAACAGCCAGTCACCGAACAATGTCAAATCTTCGCCTTACCAGTCACTTTGATAAGTAATTTTGAGCCAAGAACAAAGTATCATCATCATCATCATCCTTTATGTCTGTGTGGCACAGTTTCAAAGTTTCCATAGCAATAAACTAGTTACTCTGATGCACTTTACTCTTCGCCCATGGTTTCTTTTTCTTTTCGGTTTTCTTTTTCTTTTTTTTTATTCTTTACTCCAATCCAATTACATTTGTTTTTGGATTTTCCTATTTCTATACTTATTCTTGTAACGATCATCAAATAACAGTACCAAATGACCAATTTGCTACCTAACTTGATTAGAATTGCTATTTTAGGTAGCAAGTGGTTCCTCACATTTTTTATTATAATTCTCAAAATTGTAACAATTTATTTATCTGCAAATCAGAGGGCACGAATAAAGTTATATTCTTTTCTATTCTATAAATAATATGTGATGGGGTGCTAGCCTCATGCACATTGCCAGAGCCCTGTTAGCCAGCATTACCGATTACCACCTCCCACAAAGAGGACGTAGGGATGGACTTAAGGAGGTCAGAAACGAGGCATGACAAAGCTAAAACTAATTTGGCTGGTCATCATGGCCCACTACTGACCAGTCATTACTTTAAGCCCTGAAACACAAGCAGTGAGCAAATGAAATACAGGGATTGATTGCAGGACTTTTATTAAGTAAGATGCTTACCTTGATTATTAGTCAAAGTACTAACAGGTTTGATAGTTGAGATAGATAATCTTATCCTGCCTTGTATTCTATCTGATGGGGTTCTCTTGCAAAGTGGCTTGTTCACCACAAATTCAGTTCTACAAAGAAAACGAAAGAACTAAGTTGTAATATAGGTATTTAAAATTACAGCTCATCTCCAGCGTAATATAGTTTATGCCAGTCATTTGTCATAATTATCTATTGTAACTCCTTCTATAGATTGTAAAGCTGGTATCGTTCTTGGCATTGTGATGTCAGCTGTGATGTATAAATTATATTACACTGGAGATGAGCTGTAATTTTAAATTTCAAAAAGTTGTTGAAGGAAGGCACTGATATCCTGTGAAAAATAGATAGCCACAGTTTCATTGATCTAATACACTGTATACAATGTAACTCCATGTGGAATCTTACAGTGCAATGTGCAAAAGTATGACCACATTAAATGCATGAATTTGCATACTTGTATGCACAGACTTTTTCCTGCTAAAAAAGCATTTACACACTTATAAATGTGTCTGTTTGACATACAGAAGTATGCAAATACAGTAAATGTGGTCATACTTTTGCAGGTTGCTAGATATAAGTTTTGAAATAATCGAGAAGATCATAAACTTGACAGAGAATCCTGGCAGGGTTTTCATTAAGTAATAGAAGATTATGGTAGTTTAAGCCTGAGAATTTTTCTAGCTTAACGGACCATTCCCAACTTCCAACCCTTAATAAGAACCCTGGAGACCATCAGATTGGGGCTTAGCTGGTAATGGTTGTGTTGTATTGGGAAGAGAGGCATTTTAGATATAAAAGAATTTTTCTTTAGTCATTTTGACTTACCCATCTTCACTGTCAAAGACATCATGGATTGGCACAGACAGTTTACCCAAAAAACGACTGAAAGCAGGACGAGTACCAGAAAACTTGTTCCTAACTTCCACTTCAAGAACATCATCAGCACCACCAACAAAAACGAATTCCTAAAAATATCACAAAAAAAAAGAAGTCATATTTTTGAACATAGAGACAATGGAAGTTGTAGTTGTTCAAACATTCAGTAAAAAACCATGTTGTCTGTTTATACCTTTATACATGTAGTTCATGGTCAAGACCCAATAGAACCGTTTTGAATTCCAAATTACCGCTGTGTTTCTTGATTACAGACTCATTTGCACAGGGTTAGCCTCGAGTTTGTGCAGAATATTCACGTGTTCCAGTCAAGGTCCGTCGAGTTTCAAAATGTTTGTATTGTTAAAGTTGCGCATTCTTTACTTTACTGTTGGTATTTGTGAATATTTAAACACTGATACGAGGCTAACCCTGTGCAAATGAGTCTGTAATCAAGGAACACAGCAGTAATGTGGAATTCGAAACTGGTCTATTACAAAATAATAATATTAATATAGCACGGTAAAATAACCATCACATAGTAATTATATCATCAGCAATACTTCATGTTTACTAAATAATAAAATCATTGTTTTCAAATTCAAATTTCAAAATCCTTATCAATACCCTGACAGTAATTTCTGGGCTGATCAAAGTCAGAGCATGTTTTTTTTTAGCATGTTGGGTTTTGCAGAGGGAGGAAGACTGAAGAACCTGAAGACACCCCCACACATCACAGCAAAGACCTTACAAATTTTGCTTACATGTGATGTTGAGTGAAGGAATTGAACCTGAGACCCCAGAGATGAGAGGTGAGTGCACTACCACTACACCACCCTTGATTTACATAACTGTGATAAAATACTAACCATTATCACACAAGTATCACCAGCCCTTTGTTTTTTGCCTTGCTTTTAGCTGCATTGATTTAGTTTTTTTTCAATCATTATCCTCTACTGTATGCCTGGGCCGGGTTGTTCAAAGCTGGATTAGCGCTAATCCAGGATTAACTCTATAGGTCTTATTAAGAGTTAACCCAGGATTAGCACTAATCGGGCTTTGAACAACTGGGCCCTGTGTGGCATGTAGGGCCGAAGATTTTTGTGTTTTTTTATTACTTAGTAAAATTCCCAAATAGTAAAGCTTCGTTCTTGTCAAAGGGTCAGTCCAGGTAAAGCAGCTACTACAACCCCCCCCCCCTCCCCCACCTTGTGTTTTAACATTGATAGACACATACATCAATGTCAGTAAAAATGACAGACTCAAGATGATGCCAATACTTACTTCATTTTGCCAGTTAGGGTTAATAGTATGGGACTGTGAAGAAGTCTTGGCTATCTGACCATGGTGATGCTTCCAGGATCTGAAATGTCTCCTTGAGGGGATGACTGACAGCTTAACATAGGGACTTGGTTTGCCGAATATATTCTTCTTCAGACCAAATGCAGCGAGACCTAAAAAGTCAACCATTTTCCAGTGATCAGTTCAGGGTTTGAGATCACAAGGGAAAGAGAAAAGATGTTGGTATCATTGTCTGGCCAGAACTGGGACTTGCCTGTCAAATCTTTGCCTTGCTGGTCATTTTGACCACTAAAGTTTAGCCAGAAATTAGGTATGACTAAGCTAAAACTAATTTGGGCTGTGATCATGAGCGGCGACTGATTGGCCATTATTTTAAGCCCTGGGTATAGAAATTTTTTAACAGTATAGCAATAAAAGTATGGTACCTGAGACAGAAACTTCATGGAGAGTATCCTGAGCAATTTGTGCTTGACGACGTCCCCCAGAACCATGAATCTAAACACAACAATCAATTGATTACACTTTTATACGTCATCTTGCTTTATATTTAACAAAGATCATAATATATTCATAATATACAATGCTAGGGATAAGCTTTAAAAAGAATTTCATGTTTGGTTTCATTTACTAATATTATAATATAATAATATAATAGATTATTATTTGTACTGCCCAATTTAACATGTTAATATGATCAACTGCGCATTACATATAGGTACACTATACTATCTATACTATCTGTACTTACCTCTGCATATGGACTGTGGATGTATAGAGTAGGACTTATTGCCCTTACAGAACCAGTACTGGCAAATATATACTTAAATATGCATCTATTTTCAACTGAAAATAAAAAGAGGTCAAGTCATTTTATCTTATGTATTTCACTCCCTCGATAAAACCACTAAATTCCAATTTTATGATTTAGCCATGGCAGAGATTTTTCAATCAGGGTCCTGGGACTGCTTGTAACTGCTCAAATTTTAGCCCTGAGCAAGCATTGTGTTGATAATCAATATTTAAGAAGCCCTTGACAAACAAGTCAAGTGAATCCTGGGATGTATCAAAATTAGGAAAAATGCATTTTATTTTCTAGCTTCATTTCGTTTTATTATAGTGTAAGGATAGTACATGCATGCTGATTGGTCAAAAATTGTGCTTTAATAGTGAACAGAGGGGGTTCTGACACCATCAGTGCAAGCAAAGTACTGCTTGATCCTGCAACCATCTTTCTTTTTGTGTAAATAAATTCAATACCAAAATAAAATAAGCAAATCATATAATAAAATGAAAAAACAGCTTTTTCCGTGCTCTGTTCATTAATAAAACACTTAGAAAGTGCTGTAAGCATTCAAGAAGTGTGAGAAGCACTCACCTACAGCTCGTGCTTCTCCTTCTTACTGAACAGAGCACCATAAAAGCTGTTTATTTTTAAATAAAAATGCACAATTTCTAATATAATGTAATCTCTTACCATTATTAAGATCAATACTTCTTGAAATGACCCATTTGATTGCACCTCTTCTGGCTCCTGTAACGCCTCTCTGCTTGCAGTCAAGATAATTACTCAAGGAAGTTGCACTATCTGAATAACAGAAAAGAAAATAAGAAAAATATAAACTGTATAAAACTACTGCAGTATGTGACAGGTTATATTTTTTTGCATGAGAGAGAAACTTATTGTAATGTGCATGAATTGTATTGCATTGAACATGGCCTTTACAAGAGTACTTCATACCATACCCCATACAACCATATACCATAACCCATTATTGTACATGAATTGTATTGTATTGAACATGGCCTTTACAAGAGTACTTCATACCATACCCCATTATTCCACAAACTGTTGAGCTACCTAATTTATTATCATGGGTTGGAGACATTAAATTACTTTTGACATAACAGCTGGCTTGCTCTGCTTTACAAGAGTACTGTACTTCATACCATACCCCATTATTCCACAAACTGTTGAGCTACCTAATTTACTATCATGGGTTGTAGACATTAAATTACTTTTGATATAACAGCTGGCATGCTCTGCTTATATGCCACCTCCCACAAATGTGACCCGGGTTCGAGTCTTGCTGATCTCGATGTCGTATGTGAGTAGAGTTGTTTGTTGGGTGTCTCTTATGCTTCAAAGGTTATTTCTCTAGGTTCTCTAGCTTTTCCTCCCTCCACAAAAATCAACTTCTAAATTTTAATTTGATCTATCTATCTTATCAGTTGGGTTGCAAAACTATAAGGCATTACGCCGTCCACCCAGGAGTGTTAAATGCTTTAAATACAGCATTGGTTTAACTATAGCCACTGGACCAATCGGCCATTTGCATCATCATGGCTAACTAACAGATAAAAACCTGAAAACAACCTCTGAGCTGATCAAAGTCGGGTTATGGCTAACTCATAGATCAAACCCTGAAAACAACCTCTGAGCTGATCAAATTAAGTCAGGGTATAGCTAACTTGCAGATCATCATTTAGCATGTTACGTTTTTCAAGTTTGACTCTATTGTCTTCTTTCTTGACCCATTATAGTTATAATCTATAAATATATAGGCACAGCATGAATGTGTCTAAATATATTTAATGCCAAGTTCAAAGTTGTCAAACAATCAAAAAAAGGGATTAGTTTATTGCTTATTTAGCATGTATTAAGAACTTTTTTCAAATTGTAAATAATCTTATTAATTCTTGACACGCTTTTAAATAGCAATTTCAAAAGATGACAAGAATTATTTGTTTGATTCAATAAACTACATTTAAAATTCACACAAAAGTTTATTAACAAAGACAATTTTGTTTTTTCATTTATTTAACATGGTTTTTCTTTAATTTCTTTCACACAAAAAAATTAATCATGATTATATTAATTAAGAAAGATCTATTATCAATTGATTAAATACATGAGAGGGATAGAGTAGTTAATTAATTTTTTTCAATACTTAATTTTTTGAATCACTAACGTAAATTAAAGATGACGAGAGCAATATTTTCCAATGTATATGAATTGACATGATAACAACATAGTAATAAGCAAAGTGGTTTCAAGGATGTTTTAAAAGTGAGTATTGATCATGAGAGCGTTAAGTGACGTAATGAATGAATTTCTTCACTGGCTTCATATTTTGATTAATGCTTGGCGTAAGACGTACTCTGTAGTTTTCAATATTGAAATTATGAAACAAGAGGCTTTGATATCTTAAATTAAGTAAATAATTCTAAGGCTGACAGCCAGTAAAATGCAAATCTTATCACTCTAGCAGGTAGTAAACAATAGCCACTAAATCAAAACGTCTTTACAATAGCTTTTTAAATAAAATGTCGAATTCTTCGTTCGAAGAAAAGATATATAGCAACCTCTCAGATTTTTAATAAAATATAGAAAATTTTTAAGCCCCTAAGTAAAGATTTAAAAGCGACAACTTGTTTTTTAGTGATTTCAAAGGAGACACCTTTGATAGTTTGATGCTATTGTTTCAACCACTGTCTTAATTATGTTATTTTGGTGAATTATTTACCTCCAGACAGCCTTTGTTAATATTTCATTTTCAAGGTCGAAATAGAAAATCTTCACGGTTCTGTTTTGGCTGGAGATTTAGATTCTCATTGGAGGAGAAATGATTGCGGTTCTTGAAAATACAAAATATATACTCAGGATCATAAGATTGGAAGCCAACTAAGTACTGCCTTATCCAATGGAATCTAAAGTTATACTTTGATCGACAGTTAAATCTATTTAAGTGCTGATCTTTTTTCTTCTGCGATTTCTGGATTGAGCTCAAATTAGAGATTATTTTTCAACATTCCTTCAAAACCTTACATTCCTGTCAACCACAACTTTATCGAGAGTGGCTAGGTTAAAAAAAGAATGTCGCTTTAGGAGATCGAATTCAATTTGGGCTGTTTTGGTCCAAGGAGGCCAGCTTGATCACTGATGCCTCGATAAAAACTATTAAACTTTTTCTTATTGTTTGAAAAGATTTATCTTATTGCTCAAACGATTCACTGTTTCACGATTTAGACAGATAATAATTAATACTAAAGAGATTTGAATCAAACTATAAGTTAACGGGGTCCAAATAGGCATCAACGAGTATTTTGTCGAACACGTTGGTCAAAATAATGCAGGTAGGACTGAATACTAGCTAGATACAGATCCAAAGGACACCTATAAACACACTTCACTTTGGGTATAACATACTAAATTGTCAAACATAAATAAAACACAACATTATAATAAAATGTTTTGAATACAGAAGTCGACAGTCAGTATTTTAATACTCTACGGGTCGACCAAAGGGTCGATGGTCCCTTCTTGTCAACTTCAAACTTACCTAAGTCAAAGAGACCAATCCAGTCATTGGCGCTACAATTTTCATGAATGTCCCAATAGACCGTTAAGCTGTCTCCAACAGTCACTCTAGTTTTACTAAGCTTTAACATTGAGAATCCAGCGCTACAGAGGTCCTGACCAACATGTACACTCGCTTCACTCTGCGCTCGACGAAGATTACTTGTTCCACTGAATTCACTCAGAGATCTGTAACTTAGAAGTTCTACGTCTCTCGTAGGCATCGCAGAGAAAGAAAAACACCTATTGTGCGTGTTTTAAGGCCAATCATGCCGATAAAGCTGAAGCAAAAGTGAAATTCATACACATGTATTGTTAATAGTTTGTGTGGCTGACAGCATTCGTTCGCCAAGGTTTCAACTCCTGCGCGCGCAAATCGCTGGATTTTTTTTTGGACGGCGCACTTATTCCGGAAGTGAACGTACTAGTGGGCTTCCGTTCTTGATAACGTAAAATAACACAAATAAAACAAGCTTGGGCAAAAAATGCTCAAAAAACGTGAACAAAAACAAGAACATATTTATCTTAACATTTAAAATATTTTATTAAAATCTATGAATCGATATAATTTAATTGTGCGCCCAGCAATGATTTTACGAACGGACATGACGACACGAAGAAACAAAGCCGTAGTGACGATTAACTTCCGGTTGATAAGGTTTTACCGGAAGTGACTCAAGAACGATTAATTATATCAAACAACGTAGTTACTTGTTAAGTCTAGTGTATACAAAATGATTTATATTCGTTTTGTTGTCGGCAGGCCTTTCTTAATGAAAATTAGGCGAGAGGTTTCTCCTGAGCAGTGGCCGCGTATGTTTGGGGGAGTGGGTCTATACTTACAGTAAGTTATTCTTATATTAGCAGTTTTAGAATAACATCATTCATTCTTTCTTTCGTTCCCCCCCCTCCTCCGACTTAAATAATGACTGGTCCCTTAGCAGACCCTAATTGACTATCACACGTTAATAAATATTTTTTTCATAAATGCCTTCACTTTATCCGGGCTCTACAAGTGATTGACATAATTAAGAGAATATTAAGTAAGCTTACTTCATATTCTCTTGACATAGCCTGATGGCGTGTGGTTGTTGTCATTTGACAGCGGAGTAGGCAAGACGGCTTTCAGCTAACAGAACATTTCCTGTCTAGTATGCAACGGTTACTTAATACTTCGTGAAATGTGACTTTCACTTTAATTACGTGATTCTATTCATTCATTGTATTTCATTTATAGCTTTGAGTAGCGTGATAAATATCATCAATTATCATTAGCGTTTGCATCATTAGCATCATCAGTCATCGATGTAACTTCATCGGGCGGTGATGGCTAATCCCGAGCAACTTTACCATAAATCTGCCAACTTTTCTTTAAGCAACTAGGTTGTCCATGGGTTTCGAATCCCCAGCCCTTCTTTTTATCCGGCTTTCAATGTGTGCCTGGCGTCAAGCCAGATTTGAAGTTATAGCAACCAAAATACAAAGCAAACCGGTCTCAGTCGCCAACTGAACTGTTTTTGAAGGCACGCACAAAGAGCAAAGGAAATTCTTTTGTAAGGATGTTACATAGCTATGGTTTGCCATATTCCAAAAATCGTGAAATATTGCATGGGAAGCACACTGACAACTGCACCCGCCGTCTTCAGACATCAAAATAGACAGGTTTTAATTTTCTCCTTTTTTACAATATTAATTAAGAGTACCCTGGGTTCCAGAGGGTTCCCTCTTTTCGCGGATTTACTGAGAGCGGCGAAGCCACGAGAGAGCGGCAAAGCCACAAGAAAAATCCCTCTGGAACCCAGGGTATATTAAGAGCAGACTTAGGGGACCCCTCTATTAACTCTGGAGTGGATAACTTATTTCTGTGAGTTCTTAAATTCACCTAAACCGGACGGGATTCGAAAGCTGTGACTTTTCTTAATGCTGAAACTACGCGAGAAATAAACGTTTTACATCAAATCACAACTCATAGCAGGCTTTCTTGGAGCCATTTCTATTAATTCGGCCATTTTAAAGACATTATCAAAATTCTGTACTTGTCACTAAACTCCCATACAATAATACAAGTGTCAAAACGACAGCTGCCTTGAGTAAACGGCGGCTGCCAATGCTTTCCTCTTTAAATTTCTCTCATAATGACTTTACTTCAAGTCGCCACTTTGAATCGAAATTGAAATACTTTCTGTTAAGCTACGAGATATATATTTCGCTACTGAAAATTTGATAACAATTGAAATTTGACTCGTTATTCGCTTTTACTTTCACTGCAGATTAATTCGTTTTTTCCATTTGAATAATTGCATGCCATCTAATACTGATAGAACTCACGGGCTACACACCTGTTTTGTATGGAATACCAGACATTGAGTACTTCTAGATCTTTTTAATCCATATGAACAAGCCTCGTGCCATGTCCTAAGCGTTTTATACAATATTTATGTAGCGTGCACTTGAGTTGAAGTCTGGCCGCTAGACAACACTCCTGACAAAAATACCTGATAACAGTTCTGCCTTGAGGAGATCTTTGGAAAAATAAGGAGAATTCTGATGCGACGCTGTTTTTTTTCCTTTTGAAAAACAACCGCGTCGCTCGTGCCACATTCGCGCTCTGATGATTCTACTAAGCAGTAAAAAATTTTTTTAAAAGTTTATTTTCCCGCAACTTCTGGAGGCAATAGCGAAAATAGATATGAACGAGTGAACGGAACTTTGCTAACCTAAATTGCTAGCAAATCTCGGAGGAAAATTATTGCATGATCACAAGGATTATCAAAAGGTGGACCATGAATAAATACAAAGAATCTAAGTATGCACGTGTTTCGAACATCCAAAACCCTTAGGGCAGTCCGAAATGACTTTATAATATAGTTATATATATAAAGGAATTAAATAATTGGTCATGGAATCGGATAAAAGAACTATGCAGACCTTACAAATATCAGTGAAGAAAGAAGGTGCACTGAATATAATGAGACTCCCTACATCTCTCTTGTCTTTCTCTCTTTTTTCGTACGATTTAGAATTTAAATTCAGTATAATTGCAGGTTATCTTAACGTGTTGATCAATCATAACGACGCATTTTTTCCATTTCTAAGTACGACAGAGACAAATGACCGCCTTCCTTTGGGATGTCTCTTTCCGCAGAGTTCTTGAATCGTACTCAGTAAAAATCGACTTGTTGGCAGCGACTTTTAACACCTTGGGGTGGAAAGTATCAGAAATCGAAGCTCTGGCTTTAAATATTTATTCTATTAATAGAAATTTCGGCGTATGTCAAAGAACGGAATTGTAACATCATGGACGAAAGATCTTTTAACATTTATTCGAACAGTTTTCTTGTTGCATGCTATTCGAGCAGTTGATTGGTTTTCGTGTCGTGTGCATGTGCTTTTGATCCGTTCAGACTAAAGACACGATACTGCACACACATCATGTGATTGGCCAAGTGCTGTGATTGGTTCAGTTGTTGCTTTTGTTTGGTTTGTGGTATTGAAAGCCATTTGAGTGTCACGATACTGCACATCCCCCTCAATTTACAAAATGGTTACACATTAAAAGTTCCATAATATCATCAGCAACAACACTGAATAACAACAACAACAATAGCAGACTGAAATGTTGACGAAAAGAGCAACAACAGCACTGAACAACCACAATAGCAACAAGAATGCAGCAGCAACAACAACAGTAGCAAAAAACAACAACAATGTTAACGACAATAACAGCAACAACCAAATTGGTTGCAGATTTGATTCTTCCACCAATGACACACACAAACATGTCTTTGAGATATTAAATATTCAACGGACAGCTACAAATCTTACAGTGCAAACAATCGCTACACTCGTTAGAACATTGTACATGGCTGAATGAAAACTTTATTGCACTTTATTTAATCACTTGTCTTTTATCTTATTAAACTTGAATTATTAACCCTGAATAATCAATCATGATACCAGTTATACGATTTTCAGTCTAGGCAAACTACTTCGAGAACGCTCTTTCGTTCGGAGTATTAAAAAAAAATAGAGTAAAAACCAAAAGAAAATCGGCGATTTCAATTTTAAAGTCGAAACGACAATGCACTGACCACGTTTACTCAAAAAGAATAATCTTACTACCATTATCGTTGAAGTGCGACCCACGAAGTTGAATGTCTCGTTCGCCGACTAGCATTTCAACATCTGTTCCGTCAAAGAACCGAAATGAAAAAGCAATATCTTAATCCTCCAATCCTCTAAAATCTTCAATTAAGTCCAAAATTTCCGTCGAGATATTGCTGTTTTATTGCAGTTCCTCGACTGGCGGCAGGGGAAATTTGAACTTCACGGGTCGCACTTCAACGATAATGGTATTAATGTCTGTATTTGTAGTTGTTCCTGTTTAGAAATAAAATAGTTAAATAGGATATTTGATTGCGTATGAATTACCTCATCGACAAATAACAGTTACTTCACCGTTCACAAACAAAAGGCCTACAGTAAGACTGGCGCCTGTTGCTTTATGAAACCGGCATTCCTTACAATAAACATGAAAAACCCTCCCTGTTTCAGTTCGACTGAGCCAAATATTGAACTGTATTGGAACTACACCACTACCATCAGCAGCAGCAACAACAACAGCAGCAGCAACAGCAGCACTTGCAACAGCAGAGCCCACCATGAGCAGCAGCACCGGCAGCAGTGTTACCAATCAGCAATTTAAAGAAGGTCATGCAACAACAACTGCAGCATCCACATAGGAGAACAACTGATGAGCAGGCATACTAGCTCAGCTGTTGCAACCAAAAAATTCCTGTAGCGTAAGCAACAGCAATGTCAGCAGCATCAGAAGCAAGGACAGCTAGAAGCATCAGCAGTAACAGCAACCACAACTAAGCCACCTCAACATCCGCTATAGGAGAACTGATCAGCAGCAGCTACTAGCTCCGCAGCTGTTGCAAACACTCGGCTAAATTCCTGAAGCTTAAGCAACAGCAATGTCAGTAGCATCAGGAGCAACGACAGCTAGAAGCATCAGCAGTAGCAACAACAACAACTGAGCCACCTCAACTTTGCAAAATACAAGCAACAGTTTTGACAACAATAGCAACTGCAGCAAGAAAACACCGACATCAACGAGAAACACAACAGCAGAATAACAAGTGAGGTTCAAACATTTACAAGCATGCAAGCGAGTGCCATTAGATTTGCAGAGATAAATTTCTTTAAGCGTACAAGAAAGCATACCACAATCTTTTGTGGTCTCTTGGTGAACACCATCTTTATTCCTGATCCAGGAGTACCCCGTAAACCTTTATGGGAAACTAGGAAAGCTCGGCACTTTAACAAATTTCCAGAAACATTTTTAAATAGTCCAGATTTGTCCTCAATAATAGTTTTGCTATTATATAGCCGTGTTTATGTTTTTGTCCCAAAAAAAATGAATTGCAAAAAATATACCTAGGCTTTTGCGAAATATTTTATGAATGTAATAAAAATTCCCTAATCAACTAAGATTTCATTGATTTGTTATCTATCTCATCTATGTGTTTGATTTATGTTTAGATTGCAAAAAATGGCGGGAAAATCAGATACGCAGACGCTTCTACTACTCAAAACTGGCGGGAAAAAGATGGTCTGGCATGATGTACGTGATGTCGTCCCATGGATGACGATATAGTCCCTGTTTGAGCCGCTTCTGGTCCAAATAATGACCTGAAAGTATTAAGAGGTTAGATATGGTGGTGTTCCCAACTGTTGAGTACAACTAGGTCATATTACACCAGGTTTTCTTTCACTACTAAAAAACTATTATTTTAGTAATCTACGACTAAATAAATGATAGATTTTAATCTTGCATGCCGAGTCTCCCTAGATAGAAGCCAATATTTAAGTATGACTACTACATTCAAGGTTCTAAGTACATTACTCTCAACTCATTCAACCCGTGACTCAGGCTATAAAACTTACCAATGAATCCCATGGAACGCCCAAGAACGAACAGGCCGTTAAGCGACCCAATCTGGATGTACTCATTTGCTTCTTCCCTGGTAAATTAATAACCATAAAGGATATAACATTACGGTGTTATATTGGAAACACTTGAACTCACGCTCTGCATGGGCCCGCTTTGGGTCATTAGTCTCTGACTATCTGAAAATTGTAGTACAGGATAGGGTTTTCGAACCCATTCTGGAAGAGCAGTTACAATAGTGTTGAGAACAAGTGTAAAAGCAAAAGAGTGCTTATGGGCGAGTGTAAAGACAAATGAGCTGACATTTGCAGGTACAGAGGGGCTTAGCGCTTGAATACAGAGCTAAGATTTCCACACTTACCTAGTGAATGCGCCACAAGAGCGTAGTAGATCAACAAACGATACCGCAATACAACCATCAACGTTCAGAATAAGGTTGGGTTTCTGCAGAAGAATGAATATTATGGTGTCAGTTAACCTATCCACTTTGAAGATATTATTAGTAGATATTGATATTAATACCTTTGATGTTGTTATCTTCTCGACTTCCAAGGCGTAGTCAAGAAGAGCTGTACAAGGAAAATGCTTTTTGACGAAATCTTTGATAATGGTGACTCTCACGTCTGGATTGTTGAGCTGAAGATTAGTTGACAAAATAAGGAACAGTGAGATACATTGAAATACTGTTAATATTAGAAACGACATGTCTCACGCCAACGATCTGCTGGTCCAAACACCACCACCAACACCACCCGCACCACTACATAGAGCAGTTTTCGCATGACTGTGAAAAGCACAGTGCCGTATGTGTACCTTGCCGTGACCGTGATGTTTTCTAGCATTTTAATTGGCTGACTTTTTTATCGCGCAATGTGACCTTAGCGTGACCCTATTCGTGTCGTGCTTATGCCGTGTTCCGGGTATTTGATTGGATGTAAAGTAAACTCTCGAGCAATATGGCTGGTCTGGCGTACGCCTTGCCGTGTCATGACCGTGTTCGTGCCGTGAGCTTTTCACAGTCATACGAAAACTGCTCTACCTCTACCACTACCAACACCACCACCACTACCACCACCGTTACTACTACCACCACCACCACCACTACTGCACTACCACTACCACTACCAACACCACCACCACTACCACCACCGTTACTACTACCACCACCACCACCACTACTGCACTACCACTACCA